CAAGCACTTGGGCATCTTTATCACCCCTGATCTGTAAGACTTATTCTCATCAAACTACTCCCCCCTAGTTCAGAACATTAAGAATGATCTGTCGAAATGGTCCACTTTACCTATATCACTTCTTATTAGGGTTAATACAATAAAAATGAATATTCTCCCTCACTTAAACAACCTGTTTCAAAATCTTCCTTGCTACTTGTCCCTCACATTCTTAGGGTTTGTCTACCCAACATGCAGCTCTATTACTGGTCTGCCCAGCTTAAAATTATGTCAGACTGGTTTTCTAGTAGAGACAACCGTTTATGGCTGGGCCTTGAATCTTTATCATGCTGTCCTAGAAGGTTAAGCTCTCTCCCTTTTATCAATAATTTAGATTAATTGGATTCATTGAAGGAAAACATGGTAGTTTACAGTACTTTGTTAGCTTGGCAAGACATAAGGAAATACTTGAATATTCCTCCCTTTATCTCAATTCGATCTCCCCTGACTTTAAACCCGGACTTGCCAACTTCTATTAGAAGTATTGGCCTATTGAACTGGTCCTCTTCTGGTCTGACTAATTTCTCTGATCTGCTGATTTCTGGTTCCATTAAATCATTTAATCAAATCAGGGACATTAGCAACATCCCTCAAAGAGATTTTTATAAATACCTTCAAATTCGCCATTTTATGGAGTCATTGTTTAGGTCCAATGCATTCTGTAGGAAACTGACGGATTTAGAAAATACTCTGATTTCAACCAAATCTCCCAAGGGCCTGATTTCCAAGTTCTATGCATCCTTACTCAGCTTCAAACCATCAAGCTTTGACTGTAAAGCGGCTGTGAGAACGTGATCTGCAGGTGAAATTCAGTCCTATAGATTGGCTCAAGATTTGCAATGGAACCTCTTTCCTCAATGTACTTCTATTTCTATACATGAACAAAATTTCAAAATCTTCAATAGATCCTACTATACCCCTGTTCGTCTCCAGAGAATGTTCCCCGACCGTTCCAATCTGTGCTGCAAATGTTTGAGGCATAGAGGTACATTTTTCCATCTATTCTGGTCATGCGAGTTATTATTGACCTTTTGGAGGGACGTCCATTCTGTGACTGAAAAGGTTTTGGGTGTTTGCTTTTCCTTGTCCCCTATGTTTTACCTTCTAAATGTATCCCCTAACCATTTGAATGCACATTCTAAATCTTTGCTTACAATTCTCTGTTTTCTTGCTAAGAAGTGTATTTTGTTACAATGAACTTCACCAAATATGTGGCTCACACAGATTTCTGTCATCCTTCCTTTGGAAAAGCTGACCCATGATCTTAATCACAAATCAGACACATTTTCGACACTTTGGGGTCGTCTTGAGTCCTTTCTGCTTGGTCCCTAGGATTTTAGTATTTTACAGCTCTATTTTTTTCTCGCCTGTTTTTTTTTTGTTTTGTTTTGTTGCGTTTTGTTTTTTCCTCTTCTCTCTTGATGAGAAGTCTGGATTGTTTTATGTATATTTTGCATGTTGTCTGAGATTGTTGCAAGTGGGAAGAGATTTCAATGAGATAAAACTAATATTAAAAATTTAAGCAATTTATTTGCTGTATTGTATGCGGACTGTTGCAGGTAAAATTCACTAGCAGTAAATATTGTGCTAGTATCAGTATTGGACCAAAGAAAGCAAGGCAGTTGCAAGTCTTTAAAATTATGATGCTTTTGATGGATCAGATAGACTCAAGAAACTGTAAGAGTAGTTGCGCGAAGGGGGTTTGGGGGGGAGGCAATATTCCTGTCAGCGCCCCTGGGCCTGACTAAAATCACCACTTATTGCAATAAATGCATTGGGGTGTTGTGTCTGTATCTTGGCAACAACAGAACATGCATTATCAGCAACAGCTGAAGGTGGGATGTAAACAGCTGCCAAAATAACACTTGTGAATTCTTTTGGTAAATAATATGGATGGGAACTTAATGGCAAGAGTTCAATGTCTGGACTGCAGAGACGAGGCTTCACAGTAACATGTCCTGGATGACACAAGCACTGCTAATCCACCTCTTTTCTTTTCCTGCTGCTCTTTAAATCCGTCTGCTCGTATAGTCGTATATAGCCACGACTATATACGACTGGCAGAGGGATGCTGGAATTGGGGATATAATCCTGCAGCCACGTGTCAATAAAAGATATTATACTGCATTCTTTCTGAGTTTTTGTCAGGGTTACATGTTATTATGGGTGGAAGAGATGGTTTGAACTTCCTCCTCTCTGCTCCCCACCACGCTTCCTGTTCAACTCCTCTGAGATTTCTGGCTTCAGTTGTGGAATTATTTCAGCTTTTCCAATGTTAACCAATTGCTGTAAGCCAGTGTTTTTCAACCACTGTGCCGCGGCACACTAGTGTACCTGATCGTCAGATGTACCGTGGAAATTATCCAATTTCACCTACCGTATATTCCAGGATATAAACTGCTACTTTTTTCCTACACTTTGAACATGCGGCTTTTCTGTGGATTTTCCTTCAACCACCAAGGGGCTCTTTAGCAGGAAGTGAATCATTGGAAGTCAAAATTGGAAATCAAAGAAGAACGCGCTGATTTTCATTTAGAACAAGCACATGCTAGCAGCAGGCACGACGGAGAAATGTTTTCAGACTCGTATGATGCAGCTTCTAAGTTGAGGAGTATCGATCTGGCAGTAGAGGAGGGACATAAAGCCGATGCACAACTCAGCGTGAACAAAACCGGATTTGGAGACGGAGAACTGCGGTCCTTAATGTATCCAGCAGTTATTAGTACGCAGCCCTCTGCTGGGTCCTTATGGGAAAGCGAGAGCGGCAGAGATACCAGCGGCCTGTAGCCCGGTGCAGCTTATGTATGCAAGTTTCCAGAGCGGGGGGAGGGTTCAAAAAATTTGAAGGTACGGTTTATAGTATGGTGCGCTCATAGTCCGTACAGTACGGTAATTGGTCTTAAAAGATTTTTTGAAAACGAATTAATTATCTGCAAATAATGTAGTGTTGTGGCACTGTTCAGGTGTATTTTTGAAGTGGACATGTTAAGTTCAGTTTGAAATAAGAAATGTAAAATATGATAAAAATAAATTTTTATGTTTATTTGATTCCTATTCAAGGCACTTTGATAAGAATGACTATTGTAATATAGGCGACTACAGAGTATCTTTGTTTACATTTTTGGTTGGTGGTGTGCCTCGTGATTTTTTCAATTAAAACAATGTACTTTGGCTCAAAAAAGGTGCTGTAAGCCACCCTGTTGTTATGGTTACGCATCATAACAAAATAGCAAAGTATAAAAATGACTGGCAAAAATCAGCCCAGCTACACCGCATCCAAATCAAGAACAGTTGTCTAAAAAAAGCAATTTTCCCCAAGAAAATTTTCTGACATTTGTCAGAAATGAAAGTTTGAAAAAGATCTCAGTGAAAGTACAGAGCTACTCCAACGTGCCACCCTGAGCAGCGCAATACTAGAAATATAATATGTCAAGCAATTTCTGAAATTCTTTAGTTTGGTTTTTACCCGGGTGAACAGCTCTACACTGTAACCTGGAGAGGTTCATGATATTCCAGATACTGATTGGTTAAAACTCACCTTCTGGCTGAGAGAGCAGTGCAGCTGCAGGAGAACCAGAAACAAGCAGCTGAGATTAGCTCCTCCAAAGCAACAGAAAATCAGCCTCATGATGACTGGAACAGGACAATATCAGGACAGTGAGCCTAGAGACACATGAAATACGTTGGACTGTTCCCACGTTGTTTTAATGTTGGCAGAAAGCTGACAGTGGGAGTTAGTTCGGCTTTCAGCTCCTTGTGCTGGACCAACCTGGAAAGACTCGAGGCTCCACGGTGGGTTCCTACCCAGGCTGGCCTCGTAAGCAGCTCTCTCGATCACCGACTAGAAAAATGTGACGCAGATGTTACTCTGAACTCACCTGCTGAACAGAGTCGTGTATCATCAAACTGTCACCACGTAAACATCAACACAGCTGTCTCACGTTCACCGGAATGATTCCAGTGCTCTCATTGGTCCACGTAGTTAAAACGCATCCCCTCTTCAGTTGTTCAGCAGTAAAGCTACTTAATGGTGCCCTCTGCCGGCTTGGAGCGTTATTTCAGCAAATAAAAATGTCAGGAGGTGCGCCGGGTGGCTTTACCATCTCGGTCTCGGGCCATTCCTTAAGGGTGGACTGGGACAATGTTCCAGAACGGGAACTGGAAGCTAAATGTAATTCACTTTAATTCAGGTCAGATTGTTGCTCCTGTTGTCCCTGTATACATTAACTGTGTACCTGACCTTCAGCATCACATGAGACTTGAGACGACAAAACTCTCAATTTATTGTAATAATACAGAGGATGATTTCCAAATTCTTCTGTAGTCAGGTTATCATTGCACAAAGCCAAAGAAACAGAACAACAGACATTTATTTTTCTGATCTAAATCTAAAGAATTTAGGAGAAAGTAGCATAAGTTCTTTGTTAATGGTAGCTTCAGTTTCTTTGAATCACAATAAAGAAAACAGAAGTAAGTTAATTTCAGTTCATTATCAACTGATTTAAACAGGATCATTTTCCTAAAATAACTGCCCAAGTCATTTTTTGCCAAACGATTATTTAGGCAAAAAAATATATATATATATAAAAAAAATCCCTTTTGGCAAAAAAAAAAAAAAAAAAGACTTAGGCCATTATTTTAGGAAGGTGACGATTTGAACTATCCTCAAAGTTCAGGCCCGTGCCAGCAAGGCAACTTCAGTGATCAACTATTGATAAAAACAAGAGCAAACACTGAATCATTCCAGAAGCTTACAGATGGCTACAAAAAGTGTGTAGCTTCTCTTGCTGAGATCTATTTAAGAAAATCTAGTTCATTTAGAAATTAATTATCATGATGTCTGGATGTCAAGTTTTCAAAGTCAGTAAAAGTGGAAAAAAGATTTTATAAATATCTAACGGTTCCATTTTGTTATAATAGAGCCAAAGGAGTTCCATGTTTCCAGGAAGGAGAGATGCAAGTTAAGTGTTAACACCTGCCACAGTGCTAGAAGTTGTAAAATTTCTTTAATATGTAAACACAGAGCTAACAGATGTGCAGTAAAGTTCTGGAAAACATGGTTATAACTTAGGAACAGAAATATCCAACATTTTAGAGCCTCCCGAGAGTTCCACTATTACCACACACACACACACACAACACACACACACCCATGTTTAATGGGGTGATGGAGACCTCTACTGCTGGGCGCACTGGTTCTCCATGGTGTTATTAGAAGTGACGTAGATCACCTCTGTTTTTGGTTTCTTTCTCCTCACTTCCTGGTTGTTGTGCTGATTGTTCTTTGTCTCTTCCTTCTGGTCAGTCACAGGCCAGCTGAGGGTCAACCATAAAAAACACAGAAATATTATTAGTTACTCAGCAGGACAATGTTTGCAGCATGGTGTGTTTGGTTTAATGTGTGTATTATGTGGAGGGTGGGAGGCGGGGCTCAGAATCATCACCACCCCTTACAGGTGCCATTTTTATTCATTTACATTTCTGTGAGCAAATACATCTATTTGTCTTAGTTGTGGGATCTGACCAAAATTTTAATTAATTGCAGGTGTGTTTTCTGCTGGGTAAAACACCAAAGTGATCCTTCAGATGTATTTTATGAACTGCAGTCTTTCTCTGGTTTATATAAACTATAATGTCGCAAGAATTTACCTAAGACAGGATGAAAAAAAAAAAAAAAAAACAGATCCAGACTGGAAATATGTAATGCCCCTTTTCCACCGACTCTACTTCAACAACCCGGCTCAGCACGGCACGGCTCTGTTTCGGAGTGACCGCGTTTCCACCGGCCCACTTGGCTCTGTTGCAGGGTACCGCCTCCTGGTGGCTGGGGGGTGTAGCGCCCCGCCTCCAAGAGCTACGTGCTGTGCTTCGTTACATGCGACCTAACGCGAGTTGTTGTTTTTCTGATACAAAAGAAGAAGAGAAAGCTGAGCTATTTTTTGAAAGCCTGATTGCGATTTTTCTGAGACTAAAAGAAAATGTGACAGTGGGAGGAAAGCTGCGATGTGGTGAGGAGGAGCTGATCTCCGCCTTGCAGCGGCAGGAAAGCAGGTGGCTCAGGTGGCTCAGACGGTTCAGGTAAGCTAACGATGATTTTTGTATTAAACTACGATAAAACTTGTAATAGTGCCGAATATACATGAGCTAATGTCAGTCAGGGTGTTGCAAATAACTTACAAATATCAGAATTAATTCATAATATATTTCAATGTGTTTTCATGTTGGTAAACTGCCGCCGCAGACCATCGTGGTTCTTCGTGCAGCCTTTGGGTTGTAGGATCTCATCAGTGTCCGTCTTCCTGACTGCTGGTCGGTGTTTACCTTCAGGATGTCCAGAGACCTTCACCTTTCTGGAGCAGGAATCACATGAGCTCAATATGCTGATGAAACATTTCTGATAAAAAAAAAGTGTCTGTTGTTTTTAACTTCTCAATATGTTTAATTATGATTCACCTGATGTCCAAGGTATACTGAGAACAAATAAAACCATATTCCTTCCAATCTGACTGGTTCTAGTTCCATGTTTTCACATTTTGGACACTAAGAATTTAAAGTTTAAACTCAGTCTTATTTATCACTAATTAAGGTTACAGGTTTTGGACACATTTTCTCCCTTTCTTACATTGAAGATTCTGCAGGAAGACAGATAAACAGTGAGTGGATAGAATGATGATGTATAAACTAGAAACTAACATGATTTGTATTTAGGGTTCTTGTTAATAGCAACCCTGATAATAATGTCAAAATGTTTGGTTTGCTGAATAACGTATTCAGTTTCGGATGGCTTCATTGGTAATCTACAATGTTAAGTTCAATGAAATATTTATATAAAATAATGTTATTTTCACTCTGGCTAAAGCTCCTCACATTTTGGGAGGATTGTATTAGGAGGACCTTAATGCCATATAAACTACAGTAAGTACAATAATGTGTGGAGTGAGCAGAAATAAAGAGACTTTGTTCACTGAGACACAACAACTTTTATTTTTTTGTATGTCTCAATTCTCCATGGAGCTCTGCCATATCTGCTGGTAGCTGCTTCCTCCTGAAGGAGATCAGTTGTTCTGATGGTTCTCCTCATCGTTCTCAATCATGTCAGCCATGTTGCTCTCCTTCTGCTCACTGGGAAAAGTAATGAGATGTTATAGCTTATAGCACATAAATGTAGATAAAAGAGTTACTAATGTGGAAGTTACATACACATAAGGAATTATTTAAAACAGATGTTACTTTATATATACATACAAACACTTTTTTTTTTACCATCCAACCATACAGAATTATAAATAACTGGAATAGTGTAAATTAAAGACAAAATGTAATTACTTGTAAGTTTTATACTTATGCATGCATACAGCCATGGATAAAATACCACTAGTTTTCTTCAGGTTTATTGCTCATTCTACAATTACTAATTCAAAATTTGATTAGAGAACTGATAACTAGCCATTTTACAATAATAGGATGTCATATAATATGTTCTATTATCTCGCAACGGGGGAAACTCAGATGCAACAGCAAAATGAGAAACAATCGAAGCACGTAGATTCACGCAAAGATAAGAAACAAATGAAGGTAAAATGCTGTACAATATTGAGTTATTTATAACTGTAATGTGCAACCGAGTGTCTTCAGAAAATGCGCATGTTGTGTTTGAGCAATAAAAATACAGCAGACTTTGTGTTTTAAATGTCTTCCATGACTGTATGTATGCAACCTTAAATGTAGTACAAACCAGACAGATATATCTACAAACTTCTCACCTGGCTGGAGAGCAGCAGCGGCGTCAGCTGCGTCTGCGTCGGTGTTCACCGTGGGGCTCCGTCGGCTCCGAAGCGGCTAACGAGGCTTTACATTCGCTCCACTACTGACAAAAACGACTCATTCCTCACGGCTCCATCGAGCTGCCGCTGAATATTGAAATCCGAAGCAAAGAAAAAAGCCGGCATCTTTTTTTAGTTAACGGCTTGTTTGTATCTTCCATCACTTCCGTGTTGCAGCGAGTTTCAAACGTTGCGCCTTCATTTTTCTTCTCTCTCCGCTGCTCCGTATTGTCCACGCCCTCAGCCAATCAGTGAACAGCAGCGAAGCTTGCGTCACCTACCAAACCAGGGCCGGCCCGGCTGGCCCTGCTCTGAAGCAGGACCCTAAAAAGCAGGGCCAGCCCCGTTGAAAAGGGCTGGTGGAAACACATTTAAAGCGGGCCGAGCCGAGCCGAGCTGGCCGAGTAGAGCCGGTGGAAAAGGGGCATAACTTGACCCAATTACATTATGTCATGCCTGATACTTAGGAAATCATCGTAATAGTGACCTATTTATATACCTTTAGGATTGATTGTTCAAACATGTCCAATAGAAACAGAGACAAGTAAAGAAAGCTACAATCACGGGGGACTTTTAGGGTTTATACATTCAAAGCTGCAAATGTTCCATGCTAGTTTTTAAAAAAGTTTTTATGAATGTAACTTGCTTTCTGTGGTTCTACTAACATTTGAGAATAAATCATAACATATGAAGGCAATAACAATATTTATTCCCCTGGTATGAATATGAAAAGCACATTTGTCATTTGATAAGTTCACTCTCTCCCATAATTTGAAGTTTTTAGAAACTGAACTGAAAACAAATGTTTTTCTGATTTCCTTGTCCATCCCAGTCCGCTTTAAATAAAGACGCACAGATCTGATATTGAAAAATATTCTAGATCAGGTACCTGCAACAATGTGCCAGATCTATAAGGGTAGATCTATCCAGTCTAATTCTATGCTTTGTACTCTGAGTGACATCATGGGTTATTATCTATTTTACATTACATATAGAATTCCTAGTTTCACTTTCTGAACCAACTGAAGGTTTGTTATAGTTTATTTTTACCTGTTTGACCTGTTAGTCAGCCCATCGTTATTGTTATTGTCAGTTTCAAATTCTTTATTATATATTTTCCATTGGTTGTTCTACTCCTAAATGCACTGACTAAACAAATGAAAGTGGTTTTAACATGTTTTGACTAAACTTGTGAAGTTATTGGTGTATTTTAGTGTGCTTTGCTAGCATAGAGTGTCTAAATAAATTTATAATTCAGTACATTTTGTTTGTGTTGAAAAAAAAAATAAAGGTTTAAAGTCAGTCCAGCACTGTTCTTCTGTACCGGATCGTATTGGCCGGTACATCTGTAGCTCCCAGCAGCAGTAGAAACCTGAGTTGTAGCTCTGAGCTGATGTTGTATGATGACAGTACTGACCTGGGACTGGGGATCACATCAGGCTGAGCAGAGCTGATCTTCACACACTGGGCAGGTTTCAGCTCAGGTTCAGGCTCAGGTGCTGGAACATAGAGGAAACAATGAGTAGCTGCAACACATGATGGCCTGAGCTCCACATGCTGGTTACACTCTCCTCTCTAGGTGTGTTTGGGGGATGGAAGGTGACACAGTTCACCTCTGACCCTGTAAGAGCGGAAATACTATCTAAGGAGTTGTTTGGCGGAAAAAGACCCTGGCGCCTCGGCGAAGACTTTGGCTTCGCACTAGGTCAACCTGACCGAATTCTTTCCTTCCATTTGTGTGCAAAACGCAAATGGAGCCAGAATTTACTGGAAAGGATGTCTGTTTGTGCAAGATAAAATCAACAATTTGAGATAAATTGTCCTATTCAGCAATTCTGAAATGGAGCAGATGTTGAGTTCGTGAGGTCCAAAATATTTTAAAGGTCGCCCAATACACACTCAGTATAAAGAGTGCCAGAAGCTTTCTGCAAAACAACAGTAGCACGCCATTGGTTGAAACTTTCCAACACACACTGATGAAGATGAGAAGGTATAAAATAGGTTGATGGTAAGACTTCGGGGAGATTTTTTGTGACAAGACGATGATGATGAAGATTTTGTATTGAACTGAAGAAACTGTAATGAGGAATCCGTGGAAGTGTAATAAATCTCCAGCTCGTCTATGGCCTAGCAGCAAGAACTACGTCTCTGTGCGTTATTTCCCTTACTTAGATATTTAAGAGTATAGCCACCTTTCTAATCCTCAATAACCCTCCCTTCACTTCACCACATACCTTGAGCAGCAACTGTTATCTCTCCAGGGCTGTTTTCATCTTCACGGCCCACTTTCATATTGTCCGTCTCCTCAGTCTCCACAGCAACAACCTGCTCTCCGTGAGTGCTCCCGTCAGGTTCAGGCTTCACTTCGACAGGTAGCTTTTCCTTTCTTTTCCTCTGGACAGGGTTCCTCTTCACCTCTGCAGAGATTCCAGGCAGCAGCAGTGTTACGGAGCAGCAGACAGCAGACAGACAGCTAACAGAGGCTGGAGGTTTGCTTCACTACCTTTGGGTTCATATTTCTGCTGAAGCTCCTCGACACGCAGCTGCAGCTTGATCTTGTCACTCTGAGCCTGCAGGAACAGAAACTCAGATCCTAAAGGTGTCGCAGCCTGAGGAGAAGATCTGTTCTCCTCAGATTATATACACTTAAGGGCTGGGCGAAATCGATGGAAAGTTTTATAAAAATATTTTATAGTACTATTGTGATAACTATTTATTACTCCTTTTTTAGTTAATATGTGACTGAATGGTACAGCAGTCAAAGTTCCACAAACAAAAGTACTGCTCTTAAAAAAAAAATTGTAATCCATTTATTTAGGACATTAGTCATATGAAGAAGTTTGATTTGTATCACTAAGCAGCTCAAAGTAACTACATCTAATTATATTTTCAAATGTATTGATACTCTCAATTTAAAGGACAGCGGGAAAATTAACAATCCCAACAATACGGACAGTACTAGGCGATTTTAGACATTAACTGAAATTTATAGTGACAACAATAAATCAAAATTCTTCTCATGATAAGAAATTTATCACTGTAAATGATAAACGATACAATAAATCCCCACCACTGACTGAACCAGCCACCCTCTACCTGTTTGAGCAGCCGCTCAGACATAAACAGCTTCCTCTCCAGCTCCAGCGCTCTCTGGCTCTCTGACAGAGACTTCATCCTCTGCAAGGACAGCTCATCTCCCAGTCGCTCGGCTTCCTTACTGAGCACACACACACACGCGTGCCCACGCACACACATTAGAACAGTGGTTCTTAACCTTTTTTGAGGTACCGAACCCACCAGTTTCATATGCGCATTCAATGAACCCTTCTGTAGTGATAAATTATTTTTTTTCTCCTCCCAAATTCAAGACATTGGGGTGACCCAACTAGAGTCTAGTTGGGTCACCCCAACTAGACTCTAGTCTAGTTGAGTCTAGACTAGAGTCTCTAGTGCCCCAACTAGAGTCTAGTTGGGTCACCCCAAGATCACCAAGTCTTCTTAAAAGGTAGTCTCTGAGAACAGTTTTTCAAAATATAGTCAGTGTTTTCAGCAAAGTTGAGCTGACTGTCCAGGAACGACCCAAGGTATTTGAAATTTGCCACAGTCTCAACGGGCTGGCCATCGAGAGAAACTGGAACCACTTTAAGGTCTTGTTTAGATCATTTAATTAGCTCTACATTCTTAAGAGAATGAAAAATGAATAATAAATAATAAAGACTTTGCGGTATTCTGATTTACTAATGTAATTATATTAGTTGTGTTACCACCCCTACGCCACTAGCGGCAGTACCAACCCCGAAAAGATGCGACTAAGGAGCAGATTTAGAAGTACACCGAAAGCTACAGAATTTGGTAAAAACTGTGAGCTTTGCTTAAGTAATTAAAGACACAAGTTCAAATCCATGCTGAGAGTGGAACTCCTTCAATCAGTGCTCCTCCGCAGCACTGATTGGCTAAGAAATGTAACGTGATCCTCTGCAGCAAAGCGGGGCGTCATCACGACTTTATATAAGTGTGTCTTTACCTCCGCGGCAGAGGCTCCGCTGAACCCCTGAGACGGACTCATCGAACCCAGGTTAAGAACCACTGCATTAGAACAAAGCTCTTTCAGTGGGTTAAATAGAGACAGTGTGTCTCTTCTTTTGAAACTGCCAAATATCCATAAATTTCCACATTTCTATATTTGCAGCATAATTATTAGGGATGCACAGATATGAACATTTGGGTCAAAATCATTAGCTGATATCAATACTGCTGTTGTGGCTGATAAAACACACACACACACACACACACACACACACACACACACACCCACACACACACACACACACACACACACACATATACTGCTCAAAAAAATAAAGGGAACATTTCACTTATATATATATATATATATATATATATATATATATATATATATATATATATATATATATATATATATATATATATATATATTTCTACTGCTTCACTATCACTGAACTGAACAGGCAACAAGATGAAAATAAACAGAAGTTGTGAACATTGGCCCAACTTTACTTCATACCAATATGTTAAAGAATAACTCAAATTGTTTAACAGTGACACGTTTACAGACTGAGTTTAATTTCAGTCTGTAAACATCAAACACTGTAATGATGATGATGACGATGATGAAGGCTGAACTCACACAGAGTTGTTGAGCTTGAGTTGGAGTAGGTCAGTGTAGTACGTTTCATCCTGACCACCAACTGCTTCTGCTTGGACGGTATTGGTTGGTTGAGACTTCAGCAATGTCTATACACACACACACACACACACACACACACACACACACACACACACACACACACACACACACATATATATACGTTTTTAGTAAATAAAGCAAAAGTAATCATTATCAATACGAATTCCTTTGTACAAGTTTTCATATCGCCTCCTTATGTCTTGCAGGAGTTTTACTCCATCGCAGATAAGGGAAGGAGCTTTACTGATCATTTGAAGTTGCTCTTAAACATCAGTGTCGTAGTGTTAGCACAGCTAGCATGAGGCATCCTTCAGCATTTCAATTATTTCCTGTCCCTGAGCCAGAAGAAGTGCGACAGTTTGGGCAGATGTGAATTAATCAGTTTATACCAAATTATTCTTTTAATTAAGTTTTTGGAATTTATTATATTGAAACTTTGAGAATCATAGTTAAATGTAAAGGCAACATTTAACTTGTAGTGGTTGTTGTCACTACATATACCGGACATCTGCAGCTGAACTTGCAATCAAAACCTTTTTTCACATAGTTTTAACTTGAGGCACTGAACACTGATCCATCCCACACTTTTCAGACTTATTTGTAAAAAGAAAAATATATATCATTACAGTTTTGTCCGCTCTACTTTGTGTGTCGGCTTACAAATTAAAATCTCTCCTGCTGATGTTTCTAGTTGGAATTTGAGCAGGTTGAAGCTCTGTGCTCACCTCCCTCTTCTCCAGCCTCTGCAGTTTGGTCATCAGAGTCTGGATCTCGGTGTTCTTCTCCGACAGCATGGACTGCAGCCTCTCCAGCTGAGCAGGGTCAGCCCTGGAGCCTTGCAGCTGCATCAGAGTGGCAATCTGGACCTGCACACCACCTTCACGGTCATTCGATGAAAAGCACCAATCCTATATTTGCAGCTTGGTGCTGAAGAACCAAGCTGTCCTCTGTCACACACTCTACCTTCATGCGCTGCATCTGCTGCTTACTGAAGGCGTGCATTTTCTGCAGTGACTGATGCTGCACCTTCATGCTGATGAGCTGTCTCTCCATTGCAGCTCTCTTGTCCTCCAGCTGGAAAACAACAGATATAATTCCGTTGTTTATTTTCCGTTTTGTAGCACAATTAAGTAATTATGTTACCTTCAGTTGCTATAAGATACTGCACATATCAAATTTGATTTCCTAATTTAAAGACCATTAAATTGGGCCTTTGTCTCTTTAAAACCTTCTGCTCTCTCTGAAGCTCTGCCTTCAGGAAGTCATCACAAAATGGCTCCTCCATTAAACCCTTAACAATGCTTTTACCAGCGTTGCCATGGAGATTAAAGGACTTCTCAAACATGTATGAAAGAATCAAGGGAACACTACAGGTATGTGCTTGATGGGGGAATAGCATTACAACATATCATTGATTTTACATGATACTGAACCTTTAAAGTTCGCTCAAAATTCCTGTTATACTTGGATAGGAACACAGTGAGTGTGTGCCATCTCTGTGTTTACCTCAGCAAACAGAGAATTGCCCCGGCTGTTTGGATCCTGGGCCTGCTGAAGAACCTGATCCAACTGGATCTGCAGATCCCGGTTTAGTTCTCGAGATTTCTGTTTAAAAACAAAGCAGAAATCTGACTGAGGGACAGAAACAGATTCACACTGCTTTACGTCTCATCACATCAAGCTGACAGATCAAGAACAGAAACATGTTTTGTCGAATTTTTACTAGAGATGCTTCAATCTGTAATATTAATATCTGTATCAGTTCTGATATTGAAAAAAAATATATATTTGGTAATCAGTGACAATGTGTTTGACCCAGAATGGCAGATCTATTCAGTCCAATTCTATGCTTCATGCTCTGAGTGATGTCATGCTTCATTATTATTTATTTTACATTTATTTAGAATTCCTATTTTTACATTCTGAACCATCTGGCATAAAGTTTGTTGTAGTCTATTTTTACATGTTTGGCCAAAGTAGTGAGCCTATTGATTTTGTCTGTTTCAGATTCTTTATCATTTATTTTACACTGAGTGCTATATTCCTAATTGCACTGACTGAACAAATGAAAGTTGATTTTACATGTTTGACCAAGCTTTGAATTTATAAATGTATTTAAATGTGCTGTACTGGTGCAGAGTTAACAAATTAATTTGTAATTCAGTACATTTATGCATGTGTTTAAAAAAAGAAACTTTTTAAGTTAATTCAGCTATATTTCTGTATTGGATTGGTATCGACTGATACTACTCCTCAGATATCTGTATCGGTTCTGGAAGTGAAAGTAGTGGATCGGTGCATCCCCACCTTTTATAGCAGATTCTGTTTTCTCTTTAAGGTCTAAAACTCAAGAGTCAGTTGGACCTAAGGAAGAAAGCAGATGAGAAAGGCAGCCAGGTTACCTCCAGGGTGTTGAACCAGGACACAGCTTCCCTCTCCCTCTCTTCCTTCTCCTCAGTGAGGCGCTCCAGCTGTCTCTGCAGACGGCTGTTGCTCAGCTCCAACTGCTGCTCTCTGTAGCGACTCTCCTGCAGGGTCTGCTCCAGCTCCACCTGGACCAGCAGGAATCTGTCTCAGGCTTGGTACCGAGCATTAGAACCCCGCGCTCCGCCGTCCAGATGAGCCTCACCGAGCCTCACCTTAGCGCTCTCCAGCTCCATGGTCTTCAGCTGCACCTCCATCATCTCTGTCGTCATGGAGCTCTGTGTGTTTTCGTTCAGTGCGCGCAGCTCCTCCATCTTGCTGCTCAGCATCTCGGCCTGCACCTTCAGCTTGTGCTTCAGCTGATTTTCACTCAGCTGGAACTCCTCCACAGCAGACTGCAGCCTCAGGATCTGCACACAGTGGTTAGGACTCAGATCTCCCATGTCTTCCCTGGGCCTGTAGAGCAGGAGTGTGTGATGGTTTGCTTCTGCCTCACAGCTCTACCTTGTTCTGGTGCTCAGTCAGAGCCATGCTGTGGCTCCTCTCCAGATGTTCCTGAAGCTGCTGTTTCTGCAGGTTCTTCATGCTCTCGTATTCCGACTGCAGAGACTCCAGCATCCGGGTCTTCAGCCCCACCTCCTTCTGCAGGGAGTACTTGTCCTGCTCCAGAGCCTAGAGCACACACAGCTGCTCACAACAGAGCTGAGAGGTGGAAACTGCATCCTACATTTTGCCTATTACTGCAACTTCCTCACAAAAAGTGAAATCAGGGCAACACCTAACGATTATTTTAGGAATCCATTACTGAGATGACTCATCACATAAAAGATTTGCTACATTCTGCAGATGTTTCATTTAATCACGCAAGCCTGTTTTATACAATACTGGAAATACATTAAAACAATTCAGTTCCGTTTTAAATAAGAAAATGAGCATTTTATTGTAAAAAATGCATTAACACTATATTTCTTCACTGTATGCTTGATTATTTGTAGTTTTTTTTTTTGATTGACTAATAATTGGACAGCAAAACATGTTTAATAGGAGATGTTTATTTGTTTTTACATAATTTAAAGCAGGTGAAGCTTAATTATTAATAGATCAATAGATCGATTAATAGATTGCAAAATAATTCGTTGATGATCATTTTAATAATAGATTAATCACAATTAATCTGATTAATCACTTCAGCTCTGGTTAAAATATCTTAAATCTACATTTTCAGATGCAGACATCTCAGACTTCAGACTGTGTATTTGAATGGACCCAGCTCCACACCTCCAGAGCGTTGGTCATCTCCACCCTCTGCTCCTCCAGCCGCTCCTGGAGCTCATCCTGCTGCTTCAGCAGGTCCAGGCCTGCCTGGGCGGCCCGACGAGCCTGTTCCTCGCTCTCCTTCAGCTGGCTACGCAGCAGCTCATTCTCCTCCTCTGGAGGCATCTGAGAGGTAAAACACTGGATTAGTTCAGCAGTGGTGTTATTATTATCCTGTCTTTGGCAGTCACATTTCACTTTGTCTCATCAATTCACAGAATGTTTTCCAACAGGTCTGAGGATATAGAGGCTTCTTGACAAATATCTCCTGACTTTGGTGTTCCAGCAGTTGTTTTGGCTTTGAAAGCATCAGAGAATCTGTTTCAAAAGTACAAACACTTATCCTTCCATCAATGTCTTAGATACATATTTTAAAGTAAGGTAGAGAAATAGTGTATAGCGCATAAACAAAACATTTAATTTATTCCTTTGAAACAAATCAAACTAAACGTAGCTCTATTTATGAATGGTTACAATAGGTGCATTTTTGGGGGTCATATTGTTTGATCCCTTCTTAGATATATTAAGCTATTACAATTATTTTTGCTTTGCTGAATATGAGAATATAGACTTCTTTTTATTGGTCTGCGTTACCAAGGAGATGTGACCTTTTATTTGACCTTCTGTTGTTGTAGATTCAATGCAGTAGAACTGATTAAAATGTGTTGTATGATATCAACTTACGGAACTTTACTTCAAAACAGCCAGTAACAGACTTTTTTCTGTGGCAGCCATGGGCGGACTCACAGACAGTAACAAACATGGTTTATAATGTTTACCATGGAAATATTACTGAATCCTCAAGAAGGTTTATGAACCCATTCAGAAATAATTAAGCGTATAAAAATGTCAGCCGCCAAACGAAAGCAACCCTTTCGCGTAAGACAGTAAATACATTTTCGCCAGTGTTGTCGGTTAGCGTTTAACTTTTTTTTTTTAACTGGTAGCCGTTTCATTATGACAAATACACTGAGCATTATTATTTACTGAGTACAAAAAATATGCTATTATATTTTTTTAAAAAGCACTGTACCTTCTCTACAACAGTATCGTCCGTCTCAACCCGCCGTAGTTTGAATCGAGTTCCCGTGAGTTATCGCGACAGTTTGCTTCAAACCAAACCAAAGGCGATTAACTTGAGCCACAGCGTCCTCTAACGGTCAATTTTCAGTTCCATCACTGTTTATGAAAATAGTTAAAAACAAACCCCATTCCTATGTTGTTACGTTTAGTCCAAAATATCATGTATAATTAATAAAAGTACTCGAAGGCTTTCCCCCCCTTGGACAAGCATTCAACTTAAGTTTTAATGTATTTTTTTCTACTTTTTTCTTTTGTTGTGTTGTGTCTGTCTACTTTCCATTATTATGATTATTTTTTCTACTATTACTATTTTAATAATTTCGCTATGGTGTTTTATTCCTTTTCTTCAGTAAGAAAAGAACCTTGTGATTGAAGAACCTTGTGATTTCTATCTATAAAAAGTGCTCTGTCAATTACCTTTCTTGAGTAAATGTTACACTTTAAATTCCTTATTTATTTTATTCAAACGTCTTACTCATTAACGCTTAATATTCTGTCCTACACACACTGGCCACTTTATTGCCTTCACATCCATAATGTATATTGAGATATTTTGCAGCATTAAGTATTTGAACATTCAGACAGTCACATTTTTTAGATAACTTTGTTGCAATACCCAAAGAATGGACAAAAATTGTACCAGCACCATGTGAAGATCAAAAATCAAGAAACCCCACATTTACCTAAATCATAGAGAGAACTTCTAAGCATATCTTGAATCATGACATTTCAAAATACACTTTGAAAATACAAGGGAGAAAATGAACGTGGCAAAAATGTCCCAATAGCGTTATGAAGAAATCCAATGCAGATGTCATTATTGGACCAACAAGATCAACACATAAATAGGTCTGTAAATGAAGTTTTATAACTCTGTGAAATGACACAGGGGAGACATATTGAACATATGAAGTACAGAAGCTGCAAAAAGTGAGATCAGACATTTAAATACTGGAAATATAGCCTGGTCAGATGAGACAAGGGTTTAACTCTCTGTAACACACAACAGGCTTCTAACTGGTCTAGAATAACCCACAGTGGCAGTATGTTGGAGAAACTTTATTACTTTAGTTCAGATTTTTTTTTTCTTATGCTAGACCTGTGCTCATAATTGTGGGTTGAGATATTGAATGTTTGGACAATTATTTCACATGTTTTTGGATGCTGGAAGGATTTCTGCTTTTACTTTTTACTTTGGGACAGTTATGATGCATAACCGTGGCAATAAGGTTTTATTTTAACAACTGGGAGCAGGCGATGGCATCCCCAAAAATCAAATACCAGAACCGTTCATACTGGACAAGGATCATATCCCCAACATCACTCTGCTCGGCTTTCTAACAGCACGGCCTGACAGATTTAAAGTGGCAAAAGCAAATGAGTTGGACTAGCAGTCATCCAGGTCATGTTGCTGGGGAATGTTGTCTCTGCTACATGGAAATTGAGCTGTTAGCATGTCTTAGTCAGAGGTCTCTTCAGATTAATGGCAATACTGACTGTTACAGGAGATTCTTCCTTCCCACAGCTTCACCATCCATTCAAATACACTTGAGCAACATGAGTTCCAACACTTAATCTCCGTTTGGGATAAATTACACATTTTTGAATTGAACTGAATGTTTGGTAGGAAAATTCCAGATTGGAGGTGGAACATCATTCTTTTTGCCATATGACAGACTTTGTATATTTAAAGGAAGGATGGAAAGGCCCAGAGATATTCCTGATAATTATCTGGAAGTAAAACCGGAAATCTAAAGAAAGAGCTGATTACAGAAGAAACCCTACCTTCAGAACAAGAAGCTCGTTTTTCTGAAAAAGTGGTTCAAAAACACCTGAGCCAACCACGGTCAATCAGAAATATATTTACTGATAAAAACATGGATGTGTTAAATATTTATTTCCCCCGCCGTAGCCTTAACTGTGTCACATTTGCACAGCTGAGAATTCTGCAAACATGCAACAATAAGACACGGCAAGTTTTCCATTGCTTCAGTATAATCACTTCTTCAACACATTCAAGTCATGGATTAATCTCCCAAAATCAACACACAGCTCACATCACATCAGATTCCTCCAGGATTCCCCTGGGTAAGACGACATCAGTTCATGTTTTTGCTGCTTACACAATTCATGTCATCACTTTCACTCGCTGGAAATAACCGCCTCCTAATGTTTGGTCGACATTTTTTTTACAGAATGACAAGTAACAAATAGTGTTCATCATGACGTCTCTGTGGAATGATGCATCTAAAAGAACAAACACAATGTTGCTTGGTGGTATTTACAGTAAACAGTTTCATTCTCTCCTCAGGCTGCGGCGATGGAGGCGTCGTCTGGCTGTCGACCCTGAGGCTGGACACAAAGAAGCAAAACAGCGTTTCAAGTCAGACCCAAAATGCTGACGTTCAGGGGAGAATGGGCTCAGGGGTGGCCGGGACCGCCAGTTACCTTGACGAAGATACGCTGAGGCAGGAAGCGTCTCAGTGCAGGGCTGTTGGACGTCGGACAGCGTGGCAGGCTGATGTTGAGCTGTGGTAGTGTCTGGTAACCAGCCATCAGTGGGTAGTAATTATACAGCATCTGCTGCTCTGTGCCGGGGAGGACCCGCAGACGCACCTGTGTATTGACGCACACAGCCAGAGATCGATTTGAGAGGCAGATGGTTCTGATTTTATAGCAAATTGACTCTGATGTGAAAAATATGGTTTTCAAAACCTCAGTGGTGGGCACTCTTCTGTTAATAGCAGAGCTAATCTTTTGGTCTTTCAGCACGTTTGTCAAATTTGAACACCTTTAGCACATTTTGCTTCCCTTAAATAAATTTTTTCCAGGTAAATTATAGAGCACTAACTAGGTGTGCACCGATTTATCGGTGCCAATTTTCTTAATTTTGGGAGATTGGTGATCAGCCGATTTTTACACGAAGCTGACCTTATCTACTGATCTAATCTACGGTGCTCATGGGAGGAGCACTGTCCACTGCTCTCCCGTGAGAAAGGTTTGACTGATAGACCGAACCACCAGGTCATGTCTGCACATTTACAGTTAACAATAGATACCCGACTGTTGCCAATTCAGCAACTTTCTTGCTATATTGAGCAATGTCTCAGACCAAAAAAAATTGGTATCAGCCAAAATCGAAATTGGCATGTCATGCTTTATAAAGATCGGTAATCGGTGATCAGCCAGAAAACTGCAATTGGTGCAGCCCTAGTGCTAATTTACTTGGCTGTTTTGTAAGCTTTCAGTTGAATGTAGTTCAACATTGTATTGAAGCTTTGGTTATTGTCTGATGAGAGATCCTTAGGTAGTTCGACGTTATATTCATGCTCTTATTTTGAAGTGGGTGGAGGTATGATGTCGTACCTGTTTGAGTCCAGAGAACATGAAGGCATCCGACGGGTCAACAGCTATCTCCACCTCCATCACCTGAGCCGTCCTGTTCTCTATATGGTAACGAACTGGAAGGGACTCTCTGACCCGCCCAAACGAAGGCAGATCTGACACACACACACACACACACACACACACACACAACCGCAGGCACAGACACACACAACATGGCTGGCTGAGAGCGCGGTGTTGAAAACAGATAGTTTGGTAGGACCTAGAGAGAAGTGAGGCGTGTACTGACCAGCATAGATGTAAAGAGGGACAGACTCCAGGATGACATGAGGTAGAGTGACTGTAGTCTGGATGAGAGGGCTGTCTGCACTGGAGTACTTCCTGTTCGACACAGCTAGACCTGTTAGTCACGCCTTCATACACACCAGTGTTCTTCTGGATGTGTGTGTTCAACATACCTCCTCCATGAGATGACGTACTGTCCTGTCGCCACCGTGTTGCTGCTGCTGGTGTCTGGAGGACATCGAAGACAAAAGCACTCACTGGCGCTTTCTCCTGTCTGCAGAACCACTGAACACACAAACACAGCATCGTCAGCCCTGTAGCCGTAGTACCCATAGCCCTGTAGCCCAGCACCCTGGCCTGCCCTGGTACCTTGCTTCAGCTGGGACTGGAGCGGTGGCGTGCTGCTGGTCACCGTAACCAGCTGCAGGGAAGACGAGCTCAGCAGGAGAGGCCAGGGTGAAGACGAGCGGATGTCCGTCATCAAAAGGAAGGGGATGTCTACTGCTACCTGCTCTAACGGCTCAAACTGGACGCACGCACGCACACACACAAAGAAACTGGGATCATGACGGAGTTCTCTGCTTGCTACGAACCTCAACATAAAGTCCTTATAACTGCAATCTGTGCTAACAATATGGCAACATTTATAAAACGTTTAAAAACATCTTCGTGTGAGCTCTAGACCTTTGTAGATACAAACTTGACCGACACTTCAAATGGGACTACGGTCTCCACAGTCACCGTCTCATCCTGGAAGACACAGAAAATAAACAGAAAACAGCTGATTATTTCTCTACACAGAACAGAAAACACCAGTTATGCATGCACATCTAAATAATTAAGAAGATAACTGAAAAGTTATTATCTCAGGAGTACCCTAACCTTATCCCTACCCTACCTAAGATTAAAAAAGATTCATTATACACACAATAAATATATCTCAGTTTTAGTTATTGAGTCTTATAGGAAATGAAAGCTCCAAATATATCAATAAAAAAAATTATACAGGAATGCTATGTTAATTTTTTTTATTAGACAACATCTTTGTTTACNTCAACCCAGGCTGCCTCTGAACAAGGGGTTTAAATTATTCCAAGCAGAAAAACTAGACTGTGATCAAATATGGCCAAAAGAGGTATTGCTTTGGAAATGTATAAATTCTAAACACTTGCAACAAACAAATCCAACATTTGTTTTCTCTGGTAGTGTGGCTGACAAGGTGAATTGTCTCTGTTGTATTATTGAACAGAACCATGCAACAGCTTCTTCATCTGCTTGTTTGAGTTTTTTTTTTAAGTCACTGACTTAACTAACCCCAACACAGAGCAGATGGCACTCTCCACAACAAATGTAAATGAGATCTGCAGCATCTTGCTGCCAATACCAAAGGACTTAAGTTCCCTACATACAGTTTTATGCATTTGTCTCTTTTAACTACATTGAATTGTGCGTTTTTATATATACCAGTATATTGTTTTTATGTGGTAGATCAGATCTACCATATCAAGGGTGGCTCTCGAGTTGGTGTGGTAAATCGGAGAGCGAGGGTTTATCTGATGCAGGTATGCAGTGTTTTTAATGCTTTAGATTGACTTAATTAAGGTGATTTAATAAGTATTCAGTAATTTCTGTATTTTTGTTTTTTACAGTTATATCACTGCTCCTGCTGTTTCTTTTGAATTTGATTTCTTTTTTGTTAGTCCGCCCAGTGTTGGATTGTTTCTCTTGTTTTAGTGTTTGTGAGGGCGGGCTAACAATTTTTTCCCATTTATTTTGTTTTGTTTTCAGGTCACTTCCTAAAAATGCACACCTTATTTGCATAAGAATAAAATTTACTAATTGATTTTATGCTGGTGGTTCATTGCATTTCGGCAGGGTGAGTCATATAAAAACAACCTTTAACAAGAAGAAACCTCCAGCAGATCTGGATTCAGGATGTAACCAGGTGGTTTATTAGTTGTAAAATGGTGTTTATGTATTAGTGGCTGTAAATTCCCACCCATGACGGGCCCATAAACCTTTCCCCATATTCACTTACACCTGTAGTCCTGTCTGGCTCATTAGTATATATGGCCACCAGGTGCACACGCCAAGTTACTGATTCTACGAGCATTGGCTGTTAGGCCAGTCACTGCATATGGTTGGAGGTGTGAGTCGGATCTTTACTAGGTGAGCGCTGGCGCCGTGCTCATCAGGCTGACTGTAACAAGCCCTGTATCATTGGTATTGCTAATTAGGTAAATGGGCTTTTAATTTGTCACTTATGGCTGGTTGTGTGCTATGTCGGTGTCATTTTTGGCATGTCTGTTGTGACTTCTAATTGTTTTTTAGGATGTATGAATTTGGATTGCCACTGAAGCTGTCTAAATTTACCTCTTAGTGCGGTTGTGACTGATTAAGGTACATGTTTTTATTTTTCGCTTTTATGGTTTTATTGTTAGCAGGCACTTTATTAATTGTCATTTTGTGTGCTACGGATTGCACCCGTTGCATATTATACTCTCATCTACGTGCCTTTTTCTTTTTCTGTCACTAGGAGATTTGGAGTTTGTGCAAGGTTGGTTGTTGCGCTTTAAAATATGAAGTTAAATTTGGTTCACAATTATTCAATCAAAAAAAAAATCATTCATCCATTCATTCATTCTCTTACACCCTGGTGCCTTATTGGGGTCAGGAGGGGTGCTGGTGCCTATCTCCAGCTAACAATACGGGTGAGAGGCGGGGTCACCCTGGACAGGTCACCAGTCTGTCACAGGGCAACAGAGACGGACAGGACAAACAACCATGCACATGTAACAGTTATGGGCTATGCAGCTATAACTGCAGCTACAAGAGCAGCATCAGAAGGTGGTTCTTTTAGGGAGCCTGAGGTGAGAATGAAGACAAGATTCAGCAGTTTTAGTTTTGGTGAACATATTAGTGATTTGGATAAAAAACAAACAATTACAAATGCACAATGAGAGACAAATTAACTCAAAATAAATCGATTCCAAGATCATAAAGTTTTAGTACTTTTTCCTAGCTTGCCATCCTTAGATTCAGAAGAGGATCTGATCCATTAGGAATAAAAAACCCAACCTAAAAGGCCAGAAGATCCATTGTTTTATCAAAACAATCATGGACAAACACTAAAAGGAAATGAATATTAAATGCAAATGCAATGATTAAATTAATAATTAAACTAAACATTTCAATCAGGTTAAATTAACCATAATTTAAGTAAACAAAAAGAATATCAATCATATTTCAAACTAATCAATTTAAAGTTGAAATCAAAGTTCACTTCCAAAATATCAATCAAGAAAAATAAATTAACTCAAATACTCAGAGTGAGGAAATGAAAAAAAAATTAATTAAATAAATAAATATACTGCGCAATATCAACTTAAATGTAGCTACATCCCGTTTTGATTAATTTCATTTGAAACTCAATATCAACACAAAAAGTGCCAGAACATGCACAAAATCAGCAATCAGGTTACCTTCTGGAAGAGAGTGGCGTACTAAACTGCAATCAGCTGTGCATCAGCTGTGAGGCTCAGGTAACCACACCAACAATTCTAATAAAACAATGCTCCAATGAGCAATCAAGCAGAAATTTCATGTTAAAGCAATATGCTTTAACATGAAAACTCACCAAAGGATCAAATCAGTGGATGTAAAGATTTGGGTGAATTGTCAGGAAGACGCCAAACAGCCGGTCACAATCACAGTGAAGCAGGTGATGTAGTTCAAACTGCGCTGGAGTCGGGGCTTTAAATCAGTTGGCAGAGTTTGGGGCAAAACGGGATGTGGGCCCACAAAAATAAAAGTCTTGACTAATTGCGGGTTACACATACACTCACATCTAGGGACAATTTGGAGAGGCCAATTAACCTGACAGTCATATTTGTGGACTGTGGGAGGAAGCTGGAGTACCTGGAGAAAACCCACCATGCACAGGGAGAACATGCAGAAAGACCCCGGGCCAGGAATTGAACCCAGAACCTTCTTGCTGCAAGGCAACAGTGCTACCAACTGTGTCACTGTGCAGTGCCCCCACAAAATTATGTCAGATAAAAAAAATTTATTTGTAAGTAAAACTTTTGGATTTGCAAAAAAAATAAAAATAATAATAATAATAAATTGTTTCAAACAATAAAAAAACCCTACTCAATAAAAACAAATATGAAACTGTGGTCATAGCTTTCTGAATTGTAATAATAATTAAAAATAAAAAAAAGACATCGGACATTGAGGACTCTGGATTTTATTTCAAGACCACAACTGTGGAAATTCAGACACATGAATTTCAGGCACCGAATGATGCCCGAAATTCAGATGGAGAGCCAGAAGGGGATTTCTCTAGTTCAAAACAAAGCAAAGTTGATCATGAGTAGCTAATACCCTAAATAGGCTGGAAAAGACAAGGTATCTCGAAAATATATGCATATATTTAGGATATGATCCATATTTTCTCGGTAAAAAGAGACTTCTCTTATAATCTTGAGGATTTAAGAATAAATTGCAGGTTACTTTTCAAATTTTAAGACTGTTGGCGTCTCTACGAGAGCACCGTTAAAGAGGCAAAAAGGGAATATTTGGCAAATATCATTCTCTCAAACTGCCATAACCCACGTGTTTTATTTAACACAATTGACTTTGTGCTTAATATTCCATAGAATGCCTGTTTGGAAGCTTCTCCTGATGTGTGTGATGATTTTATGCATTTCTTTATTGAAAAGGTTGGTAGTACCAGGGCTCTTACCACAGCTCCTGACTCTGACCCCTCTGTTTTGGTCCCTTATTCGGCTGCTTTCAATCAGTTTGAGCATGTGACTGTCTCACTTTTAGAGGACGTGGTTGGCCATATTAAGCCATCAGGTTCCCCCCGTGATCCTGACCCTCCACGATTTTTTAAAGATATGTTATCTAGCATAGGGCAGCCTGTTCTTGCAATTATAAATAGCAGTCTGTCCTCAGGTGTGGTCCCTGCTAGTTTTAAACATGCAGTAGTGCAACCACTGCTTAAAAAACCTGGCCTTGATCAAACTGTTCTGGCTAATTATCGGCCTATTTCGAAGCTGCCTTTTCTTGACTTGTCAACTGAAACAGTTTTTAGATGACAATGGCATTCTGGAGGTTTTC